AGTATTATCTATAGACTGTATATAGTATTAACTATAGACTGTATAAAGTATTAACTATAGACTGTATGAAGTATTAACTATAGACTGTATATAGTATTAACTATAGACTGTATAAAGTATTAACTATAGACTGTATATAGTATTAACTATAGACTGTATATATAAAGTATTAACTATAGACTATATATAGTATTAACTATAGACTGTATATATTTAATTCATTTTTCATTTAATCATTTATTTGAATAGGGACAAGGCACATTGATGAACGTTTTTAACAATTAATGCTAGATACCCCTGTGTTAAAGGGCAAGAGGAGATACCCCTGTGTTAAAGGGCAAGAGGAGATACCCCTGTGTTAAAGGGCAAGAGGAGATACCCCTGAGTTAAAGAAGAGGAGATACCCCTGAGTTAAAGAAGAGGAGATACCCCTGTGTTAAAGAAGAGGAGATACCCCTGAGTTAAAGAAGAGGAGATACCCCTGTGTTAAAGGGCAAGAGGAGATACCCCTGTGTTAAAGGGCAAGAGGAGATACCCCTGAGTTAAAGAAGAGGAGATACCCCTGAGTTAAAGAAGAGGAGATACCCCTGTGTTAAAGAAGAGGAGATACCCCTGAGTTAAAGAAGAGGAGATACCCCTGAGTTAAAGAAGAGGAGATACCCCTGAGTTAAAGAAGAGGAGATACCCCTGAGTTAAAGGGCAAGAGGAGATACCCCTGTGTTAAAGAAGAGGAGATACCCCTGAGTTAAAGGGCAAGAGGAGATACCCCTGAGTTAAAGGGCAAGAGGAGATACCCCTGTGTTAAAGAAGAGGAGATACCCCTGAGTTAAAGGGCAAGAGGAGATACCCCTGAGTTAAAGGGCAAGAGGAGATACCCCTGAGTTAAAGAAGAGGAGATACCCCTGAGTTAAAGAAGAGGAGATACCCCTGAGTTAAAGAAGAGGAGATACCCCTGAGTTAAAGGGCAAGAGGAGATACCCCTGTGTTAAAGGGCAACAGGAGATACCCCTGTGTTAAAGGGCAAGAGGAGATACCCCTGTGTTAAAGGGCAAGAGGAGATACCCATGTGTTAAAGGGCAAGAGGAGATACCCCTGTGTTAAAGGGCAAGAGGAGATACCCCTGTGTTAAAGGGCAAGAGGAGATACCCCTGTGTTAAAGGGCAAGAGGAGATACCCCTGTGTTAAAGGGCAAGAGGAGATACCCCTGTGTTAAAGGGCAAGAGGAGATACCTCTGTGTTAAAGTGCATTTAGCGGTGATTGCACGTCTGGTTGTTGCTCAACCATTCTTTGAGTTGACCTTTGAAGCTATTGAGAGTGGGACAATCCCGTATCTCACTTGGGAGACTATTCCACAATGAGCTGTCTTTAATGGAAAGTACATTTTGTCCAAAAGTGGTCCGTCTGCGGTGGACATCACAGTCTCCTCTGGTTTCTGACCTAGTGCAGCGTCCAGTGTGTTTTCTGTGGATGAATTCCCCTAAGGGAGGGGGGCCAGTCCATGTAAACATTTATAAATAAAACACATACTTTTAAAAGACTTAAAATGGTCAAAACTCAAGAAATGGTGTTTCTCCAGGATGGTGCAATAGTGGTATGAATTAGGATTTCTGTCAAACACCTTGATAGCTATCTTGTACAGCTGTTCTATGGGTTTCAGGTTTGTGGCACAAGCAAACGACCCGTTTGTAAAACAGTATTCAATGTGGGATAGAATCATACAGTGGAGGTATGACTTTGCAGCATTGACAGTTAAGAAAGGTCTGATTTGTTTAAAATGTTGCAAGTTGAATTTAATAGTATTGGATACTTTCTTAATATATTTCTTAAAAGTCAAGTTCGAGTCCAATATGACTCCAAGATACTTGAAGTGGGGGACTAGTTCTATTTCTGCTCCGTATAAAAACACATTGGATCCTTCGATTTTGACTGGTCGTTTACTGAACATCATGCATACTGTTTTTTTTGCATTTAACTGTAAGCTAATGTTGTTCAGCCAGTGTTGAACCTTGTCCAAACCATTTGAGAGACAGGATGTGATTATTTCAGTATTTTTCCCGTGTACAACGATGATCGCATCATCGGCATACATTTGCACATTCAACTCAGGACATACATTAGGCAAGTCATTAATGTACAGTGAAAACAATAACGGTCCAAGAATGGAACCTTGTGGAACCCCAACAAAAACCTGGTTCCTCCTCTGGTTAAAAGATGAAAATACTTTCCGTGCGTGTGCAGCCTACACACACATTACATTTCATTTAGCTGACGCTTTTATCCAAAGCGACTTACAATTACCAACTAGAGAATGCAATTCCTGAAGAAATTGCTAGTGGGAATGCTTTATGCTGAAAAGCTGACGCTAAACTGCTATGCTGAAATGTAATGTGTAAGAAGAAAGTGAAGAATTTAGATTGAAATGAAACATGAACACTGGGGGCTTGAATGTGTGATGAGAGAAGTAAAGAAAGTAAAAAGGCTTGGAAAAGCAGCAGAATATTTGAAATGCAAACTTTTGAACTAACTTGATGGCGAATGATCTGTCGCCATGCCAACGGCATTTGATGACATCCCATAATACGCTTAGATGCATAGATGGCTGCATCGTTACCAAACCTGTGAAGTTTTGGGCCATTTGGAGCATTTTCACTGAAGTTATGAGAAAACCGTGTTTTATGGCGAGGGATGCGTTTCCATGGAAACAGCCTATGGTGAGATCTCAGATTTGGCGTAGAGCTGTTGAGGCATGGACCGGTGATATACAAGCGAAGTTTGGGGACGATCGGACCGTGTCCATTGGAGTTACAGCGACATCGTGTTTCATGGCGAGCATTGTGTAGCCATGGCAACGGCATTTGAAGAAATCTCAAAACTGTCTCGTAGATGTCTTCACGGCTGGACTGTTAGCACACATGGGAATTTTGAGCACTTTTTGAAAAGAGAGAGAGAGAGAGAGAGAGAGAGAGAGAGAGAGAGAGTGAGAGAGAGAGTGAGAGAGAGAGTTTGTGAGAGAGAGAGAGAGAGAGAGAGAGAGAGAGAGAGAGAGAGAGAGAGAGAGAGAGAGAGAGAGAGAGAGAGAGAGAGAGAGACAGAGAGAGAGAGAGAGAGAGAATGAAATGAACAGTTAGAACTGACTGCTGTCAGTTGGAGTGATGACATCATCGTGTTCCATTACACAGGTGTTTATAGTTGAGCTAACGAGCTCTGTAGAGATCAAAGGTTTGCATTGTTCTGAATGAGAGATGAACCTCTTACATGTGAACGTTTTGTGGAAGAACCGTAACAGATATCTGTGAAATTTCAAAACGTGAAGCATGTCAAGGCAGTTGAGTATCTGAAGTGTAATTTTTGTGTACTTTCGGGTTAATAATGTGGCCTTTTTGGCAGTTTAACTAAAGGTGTGCGGCTGCTGCTGTGAGGAAACATCTGCCTGAAATTACAATGGGCTTTAATGGAGACATGTTGAAAGTTTTTGTCACTTCATGCCCTCAAGAGGCATTTTGTTTAATTATTTTTGCCTAATTATTTGTCATTTTTCAAGCTACGAGATGTTTTCCTACGTTTATCATGAAGAATTATGTCTCAGGAATGTAGGGTTTGGGAATTATGGTAGTTTTAAAATATGAAGGGAAATTTCAAGATTTCCTACCCTCGAGCTGTGACATCACGCACTCTAACTTAACGAGCTGCGCAATGTTAAAGTTCAAATGTTAAAAATGTGATGTATTATGGGATGTATCTCTGGAATTATGAAAGTTATGAATGATAAAAGTAATAGCGCCCGATTCCCGACCGAGCTGAACGTTTTGATTGAACAGAGTTTCTGCGATGTTGAAAGTGGGAGGAGAAGACGGACAAAATAACTGGATGGAATAATAAACTTTTTGTCCGTAGCATAACATTATATATATATATGTATATTTACAGGGAATACAGGGACATTCTCTGAGGGCTAAATGCCTTATTCAAGGGCACACTAGTGGTGATGTTCCAGGCAGGATTTGAACTCACAACCTTCCGATCTTCAGCCCACCTCAGTATCCATTAGACCACCACTACCCCTACATACACACACACACACACACACACACACACACACACACACACACACACACACACACACACACACACACACACACACACACACACACACACACACACACACACACACACACACACACACACACACACACACACACACACCACCAGCACCACACGCACACGCACACGCACACACACACACACACACAAGTAGTGATTGTGCAGATTGGTCCATTTCAGAATAATATATAGGCAAGGCAAGGCAAGGCAAGTTTATTTATATAGCACCTTTCAACACAAGGCAATTCAAAGTGCTTTACAAAAAATGGAAGACATTATGAAAATGGCATTTAAAATCAGTCATTAAAAAGAAAAGATAATAAAATAAACATTAAAAGAAAAAATACATGGATAAAAGTTAAAAGTTACAGTGCAGTTTAAGATGTGAGTAGTTCAATTAAAAGCAGCGGCAAAAAGAAAAGTCTTTAGCCCATATATGATATGTTTTATAATGATTGATCATGAAAGTGTTCTCAAAGCTGGTGCAGCTAGTCTGAATGACTTTGTGTACTGCAGGGTAGCTTGTGGATTTAGAACTGTAGAGTAGAAGTACACAGTAGCATAACATGGAGATACTCAAGTAAAGTACAAGTATCTAAAAATTGAGTAAATGTACTTAGTTACTTCCAAGCTCTGTATATATATACAACTAAAGACTGTGTATATATAAAGTATATGTATATATATATATATATATATATATAAAACTAAAGAGTGTATATATAAAGTTGATGTATATATATATATAAAACTATAAAGTAGCCTATATGTATATATATCAAACTAAAGAGTGTATAAAGGGTAGAAAGGGAAAGGGGGTGTCTGGTTTCTCCTCAGGTGGGCGGGGTCAGTGATGAAGAGGAGGGGCGGTGATGAAGAGGAGGACCGGGTCTGTCGCAACGTTTTCTTCTCTTTGTTTCACTGGAAAGTTCCTGATGAACAAACCGAGCGGACCCTGGACTAAAAGACCCGGGTCAGAGCCGCTAATACCGGACTGCAGGGGGATTTAACCCGGACTAAACCCGGATTTAACCCGGATTAAAAACGGATTAAAAACGGATTAAAAACGGATTAGAGGCGGTGGAGCAGCGGCATTTAGTTTGGGGTCCAGCTGAGTGTGTGAGAGAGTGTGTGTGTCTGTGTCTGTGTGTGTGTGTGTGTGTGTGTGTGTGTGTGTGTGTGTGTGTGTGTGTGTGTGTGTGTGTGTGTGTGTGTGTGTGTGTGTGTGTGTGTGTGGAGTTTGGATCGGAACATGGGCTGGTAGTTTCGGGGGGGGGCTGATGGACCCTCGCGCCTCTCTCTGATCTCATGATGCGCGCAATGGACTGCGCGCGCCCGCTGCTGCTGCTGCTGCTCGCGCTGTGGACCTGCGCGGACGCACGGAGCGCGATCCCGCAGCGCGCGTCCTACAGCCTGTACTCCGGAGGGCACGCGCAGGGAGCTCGCGCCGCCAGCAGACACAGGTAGGCTGCACGCGCATGGAAAGTATTTTCATCTTTTAACCAGAGGAGGAACCAGTAATCAGATCCTGTACTGGAGGAAAAGTAAAAAATACTCATCATTTCAGAATAATATATATGATATGTTTCAGGGACGTGCACAGACATTTGGAGGGGCTATTGCTCTAAACTGGAAAAAGCCCCCCCCCACCGATAAAAAACACAAGACCTTTTGAAAATTGTAACTTGTTTTTAATGTAAAAGAAACCAAACGATTATTACATCAACTAAATTGAACAGTAATTCACATCTCATAACAAAATAAGCTAAGGCGACTACTTGCATTCGGTGACTTGATTTTAAAAATGAAACCCAGGGACATTTTTTGTTTTGCGGTCCATATCTCATCAAATATATCTAATGTTAGTAACTATTAAAGACACAATGGGGACAATTCTGTTCTAATGTAGTTTGACCTTTGTAACTGCTGTGAAGACATACATACTGATAAAATAGGGCCTCTAACTAATTACCTTAAATAAACTCACTAATTAATTAAACCAGTTCAATACGCATTATTCTTATTCTTATCATTCTTTATGAGCGCAGTAACGGTAAGGTATCTAATTACTTATTTATTTAGTATTCCATAACTTAATAACAGAGATGGTCAAACTAAAGTGGTAGAGATGGCAGAAATCCTACAATGAAGCGGGACAGTGAACTGTTCACCCGTGAGAGGGCGATCAAGTAGCAAGTAGGCTATATTTAGGTGTTTTTTAGTAAATAACCGAAGGTATCAAGAGGAAGTAAAGTCCCCTGGTTTGTCCCTTATACCCTAACTGCCATGATGAGACAACTCAAAATTAAGTTTCCAAAATCCGACACTGAGGTGGTCTTAACGCACCGGCAGATGACAGCGCTGACAAAGTGTGTTTCGCGCAGCGAGACGCTACAATACTAAGTGTGGGCTTATCATGTTGATTCGGCCACAACAGAAAAAAGAAAAACAAACTCTCGCTCTCTCCAGAGGGGCAGGTCAGCCAAAAAGGCCAAACGGGCCGTTGCCCGGGCAACATTAGCCCGTACCTGTGCACGTCCCTGATATGTTTGATAATGATTGATCATGAAAGTGTTCTCAAAGCTGGTAAAGGTGCAGCTAGTTTGAATGACTTTGTATACTGCAGGGTAGCTTGTGGATTTACTCCAGGTGGAACTAAAGTCTGATTTAACACTTGATTATATTTCACATCATTCATCCACATCTGTGAAGTAACTAAAGGTATTAAATACATGTAGTGGAGTACAAGTACACCATGTACCTCTGAACTGTAGTGGAGTAGAAGTACACAGTAGCATAACATGGAAATACTCAAGTAAAGTACCTCTAAACTGAATTTAAAGGTCCCATGTCATGGCCATTTCTACTGATCATAATTCCATTGTTGAGGTCTACTAGAATAGATTTATATTGTGCAATGTTCCAAACTCACATTGGTTTCTCATACAGCATCTCTGTATACAGTAGTATGTGTATTCACTCTCTGTCCTACACGGCTTGTTGGAGCTCCTCTACCCATGAGCCCCCTCCCTATGAGCCCACTGTGCTCTGATGTGTGATTATGTGTTACAATGGCGTTTGTTAGCAACCAGAAAATGACACCAGTAATGACAAACAGAGGAGAATGCTGCGTGGGGTCTGGGTGCCGTGTTGGCGGGACGTTGCGGGGCTCGCTGCTGCGAGGAGGGGACAGTGTGAGCTGGATTACTGCTGTTGTTTCCTGGTTGCTGCGTGGGGTCTGCGAGACAGCGAGACACCGCAGAGCTCAGCCTGAGCTCACACACACTCACAGCCTGAGCTCCGAGTGTGTGTGTGTGCGGAGATCCACGGAGCCGTGGCTGAGAAAAGATAAGGCTGAGTGAGTGTGTGTGTGTGTGTGAGGGAGCCGTTACGTTACTATGACCGCTACGTCACTATGACCGCTACGTCACTAGCGCTACGTCAATATGACCGTTACGTCCACTACGTCACTATGACCGCTACGTCACTATGACCGCTACATCACTATGACCGCTACGTCACTATGTCACTAGTTACGTCACTGTGACCGTTACGTCACTATGACCGCTACGTCACTATGTCACTAGTTACGTCACTGTGACCGCTACGTCACTATGACCGCTACGTCACTATGACCGCTACGTCACTAGCGCTACGTCAATATGACCGTTACGTCCACTATGTCACTATGACCGCTACGTCACTATGACCGCTACGTCACTATGACCGTTACGTCACTATGTCACTAGTTACGTCACTGTGACCGCTACGTCACTATGACCGCTACGTCACTATGACCGCTACGTCACTATGTCACTAGTTACGTCACTGTGACCGTTACGTCACTATGACCGCTACGTCACTATGACCGCTACCTCACTAGCGCTACGTCAATATGACCGTTACGTCTGCTGCGTCACTATGACCACTACGTCACTATGACCGGGCATTACGTCACTATGACCGCTACGTCACTATGACCGTTACGTCACTACGTCACTAGTTACGTCACTGTGACCGTTACGTCACTATGACCGCTACGTCACTATGACCGCTACGTCACTATGACCGCTACGTCACTATGACCGTTACGTCACTATGACCGCTACGTCACTAGTTACGTCACTACGTCACTAGTGACGTCACTACGTCACTAGTTACGTCACTGTGACCGTTACGTCACTATGACCGCTACGTCACTATGACCGCTACGTCACTATGACCGCTACGTCACTATGACCGTTACGTCACTACGTCACTAGTTACGTCACTATGACCGCTACGTCACTATGACCGCTACGTCACTATGACCGTTACGTCACTACGTCACTAGTTACGTCACTGTGACCGTTACGTCACTATGACCGCTACGTCACTATGACCGGGCGTTACGTCACTATGACCGCTACGTCACTATGACCGTTACGTCACTACGTCACTAGTTACGTCACTGTGACCGTTACGTCACTATGACCGCTACGTCACTATGACCGTTACGTCACTAGTTACGTCACTGTGACCGTTACGTCACTATGACCGCTACGTCACTATGACCGGGCGTTACGTCACTATGACCGCTACGTCACTATGACCGTTACGTCACTACGTCACTAGTTACGTCACTACGTCACTAGTTACGTCACTATGACCGCTACGTCACTATGACCGCTACGTCACTATGACTGTTACGTCACTACGTCACTAGTTACGTCACTACGTCACTAGTTACGTCACTACGTCACTAGTTACGTCACTGTGACCGTTACGTCACTATGACCGCTACGTCACTATGACCGCTACGTCACTATGACCGTTACGTCACTACGTCATGAGTTACGTCACTATGACCGCTACGTCACTATGACCGCTACGTCACTATGACCGTTACGTCCGTTACGTCACTATGACCGCTACGTCACTATGACCGCTACGTCACTATGACCGTTACGTCACTATGACGCAAACTAAGGCCCGCGGGCCATATACGGCCCGTTGGGCTTTTGAATCCGGCCTGCCGAATATTGGTACAAAATTGTCCAAATTATAGTAAAGATCGCATTCATTTTGCCTTTTTCCTGCAATACCCGGCATTTCAGTTGATCCCACTAGATGGCGCACTCTAGACACATTGACCTTTGCTGGAGTCTGGTCTATTCTCTCAGCTGGCCCCACTCGGCAACCCGGATAGATCCAAATACGTCACGCTTACATTGGAGGGGGTCGAGATTAACCTGAGCAATTACAGTTAAGGCGAGTACGGCGAGTACAAGTTGTAACTGAGTAGCGCTGAGCAAAGTGTCTAGAACGCAAACACACACTTATAAAAAACACTTATATAAAGTCAGGCAACACTAACCAGGCTGAGTGTGATTCTGTTTATTTGACCTTACTTTAATGACCATCCGTTCGCTGTTATTGACCATTGTGAAGAGGCAGACGTTTTCCTGTTGTTTTGTATTATTGCAGCCATCGGATCAATACATGGGCTACATGTGGCCATCACAAGTAAGAGGAAGAGCAGCACTGCAGCGGGCAGTAATCTGAAGCACACATTAATAAACAATAGGCGCGTTCACACCGCAGTACTTTCCCCACAAAGGTTCATCAGAACTTAGTTCATGAGAACTCTTTGGTTCTCATAAACTAAGTACAGATCACGTTCACACCGGAATAAGTCCCTGAGGGAGGATTAGGCAAATGAAGCCGCTGACGTCACTTCTTCTTCTTCTGCTTTGGGTTTACTGGCAGGCCGCAAACCACTTCACGGCGTATACTGCCACCCGGAGTCCCCGGCAGGAAGTCCCCGGAGTTGGGGAAGGCTTCAGTAGAAGCTGCTGGGACTCCCAGCAGCTTCTACTGAAGCCTTCAGAGTAAATCGCCAGAACGCCGACACCTCCTCATCTCCACCGCTCCCATGTTTTATTTTGTGTTGTCATAAGTTAGTCTCTCTGCGTTTCTGCGCTGGGCTAATGCTAATGCTAATAATGCTAATGCGAGGATAATAAAATGGCGGCTTCACAAAACTTTTTGGGAGTTGTACGGGGCGTGGTTTGCAATCCGCCCAGCCAATCAGACATAGGAACCTTTTTCTCCCACGAAAGTACCTGCTCTCTAGCAGGGACGGAAAAGGGGGTAAAAAGGTTCTGATGAACTCATTTTAGTTCCGGCTCTTTTTGGTGTGAACGCGACATTTCGGAACTATATCGGAACTAAAGTGGGAAAAGTACTGCGGTGTGAACGCGGCTATTGCACCACGGCACTCTGGAGAAAGGTATAAGGTTGGAGAAGTAGTTAGGGTTACTCTGGCTTCGTATGATTAAAAACTACCCGACGCAGTCCTCTATTGATGATGTTGTGAGCGGTGTTGCGGAGAAAATCAGTGACGTAAAACGCTGTGTGGGTCATAAGAAGGCACGTAAACGGTTACGTCATGACGCAAACGATGACGCAATAGGCGCGTTCACACCGGAGTACTTTTCCCACAATAGTTCATCAGAACTACGATATATTTGCGTTCACACCAAAAAGCCCCAGGAACTAAAGTAGTTCAAATTAGTTCGTCTGACCCGCTTTTCAGTCCCTGCTAGAGAGCAGGGACTGTAGTGGGAGAAAATAGTTCATACGTCTGATTGGCTGTGCGGAATGCAAACCACGCCCGTTTAACTCTGAATTTTTTTTTGGAGCGGCCATTGTATTTGCTGGCATTATTAGCCCAGCGCACCAACGAGAGTACTTTTGTGAAAGCAGTTATTATGGCAACAATAAGAATAGGAAAATCATCGGAGCGGTGGAGTGATGAGGATGTGTCGGCACGTCTGGCGATTTACTCGGAGGATGGGTTCCAGCAGCTTCTACTGAAGGCAGTTTCCAACTGCAACATGTAATAGCGTTGTTCGGTAAAGTTAGCCGACATGGGAATCTTCCACAGCGCACACTCATGGGACAAAATAAAGAAACTAAAGCAGGACTACAAACAAATAAAAGACCACAATATCAGCCTGCTACTGGCCCGGCCCGTCTGTCACATTTTAAAACTCATAGTGGCCCCCGAGCCAAAACGTTTGCCCACCCCTGATATAGAATAACACAATGGGAGTAAAATAATCAAACACTAATTAAAAAGAAGATCAAAATACTTTCTCTCGACTCCATGATGGTGTCGGCGCTACAGGATGACTTCCTAATGTTCAGAAAGCACAGTACGCCTCCATGATCTCACAGTAGTCCGCTGTGCAGACAACTCTAGTTACCCCACGTCAGACGCACTTTTATGACATCATAAACACGGAGGATAGTGTCAGTGAGTCCTGATGAATCCTATCATTGTTCATGAATATATAATAATAACATCACAATATACCCCTGACGTTTGTCAGAGGTGAAGGGTTACTGAGTCCTGATGTAGTACAGTCCTACCACAGTGTGTATGTCACACACTGTGGTAGGACTGTACTACATCAGGAGATAAACACACACACACACACACACAACACACACACACACACACACACACACACACACACACACTGTCTAGCACTAGAGCAGCAAATTGAAACACCCAAATGACTCATTTCCTGTTAAAACAGTGACATCATGTGTGTGTGTGTGTGTGTGTGTGTGTGTGTGTGTGTGTGTGTGTGTGTGTGTGTGTGTGTGTGTGTGTGTGTGTGTGTGTGTGTGTGTGTGTGTGTGTGAAAATGTTTGATTTTCTGCAGTTTGAAGAGTAAATCTGTTAGAAAATCCTTGAACACATTGATGTTCTCCTGCTCTCTGATTGGCTGATGGTGTGTTGGATTCAAACACCTCAATGAAAGAAATGAGTTCCAGAAGCTTCCAGAAAAAACAAACTCTATTTACTTTACATGGCCGACCCCATGACGGTGGGACATGTAAACGTGTGTAAATTAAACTTGTTTTATATACATTTCATTTAGTAGATAAGATATAATACCATAACTGAAATGTGCTTCCAGTCCCCGCAGCGTTCAGGCCGCAGATGTTTTTAATCATGAAACTCTATTCATATTTACTGAACACACACTTCAAGACTGTGTGTTTCATTTGTTATTGTGTAAAAAAGTGATTACAGGAAGACTCGTGCAGACGTAAAACCCAGAAGAGCTCAAACAGTGAGACAAAATGAAACATGTGGCAGGAAGTGCTCTTTCAAAATAAAAGCCTCTCGACAGACTCTAGTGAATCACAGAGTTTACACATTTCATATTTTTAAAGACACAGTTTGTTCTGAAATATCTGAAGCATCATCTGATTCTGGAAACATCTGGAAAACATCTGCACACGCTCAGTCTGACCTTAGCCCACCCCGACACATGGCTGTGTGTGTGTGTGTGTGTGTATGTGTGTGTTGTACTTTCACAGGCATCTTCTTCATCCTCTCCTTGCCCTCTAAGTGTATCACAGAACTGCCCTCAGGAGACCTGTGAGTGTTTATGAAGCTGCAACACTACCCAGACACCTGATGGTGTGTGTGTGTGTGTGTGTGTGTGTGTGTGTGTGTGTGTGTGTGTGTGTGTGTGTGTGTGTGTGTGTGTGTGTGTGTGTGTGTGTGTGTGTGTGTGTGTGTGTGTGTGTGTGTGTGTGTGTGTGTGTGTGTGTGTGTAACAGGAACTGGTGTGCGTTCGTGGTGACAAAGACGGTGAGCTGTGTGGTGGAGGACGGAGTGGAGACCTACGTGAAGCCAGAGTATCATCCCTGTGGGTGGGGGGGGCAGTGCAGCAGGGCAGTGCTGTGAGTACACACACACACACACACACACACACACACACACACACACACACACACACACACACACACACACACACACACACACATAGATCCAGCATGTCTTCCCTCTTTGTAGGTACCGGACCTTCATGAGGCCGCGGTACAAAGTCGCCTACAAGATGGCCACGGCGCTGGAGTGGAAGTGTTGCCATGGTTACAGCGGGTTGGACTGTGGCGAGGGTCCGGGATCAGGACCGTCACCGGGCGGGGGGGCGGGATCTACATCCAGACCCACTGGAGGACAAGCTGGTGAGGGGATCACATTCGTCTAATGATTATCCATGTTTGTTTGTAGTATTGAATTAAAGGTCTCCTATCATGAACATACGTGTCCCCGGAGAGTCAGGAAACAAAACCCTCTCTCTTTGAACGACGTGTTCTGGAAGTAATATGGTTTGTGTTTACATTAGCATCGCTAACACTCAGAGCTAACCTATACTGGAGAGATTTTTGATCATAACATCTGGTAGTGGATTACTTAAAACTTTGAGAAAACACATTTTCGGGTTCCCTTTGTGTCCCCCAAGCTTACTTCAAAGATTTTAAATGAAAAGAAACTACAAAATGTATTTTAAAGCACTGAATTAAAGGAACAGGGTGTTTTGCATTACAATGTAAAAATAAATATATATATTTAGTTTTAGTTTTATAATAATTAGTTGTCTTTGTAGTATAGTAAAGCTCACTGCTTGCCTTGCCATGCTCAAAAAGGGGCGGGGCCATCAGCTCTAAGGGGGCGGGGCCAGCAGCCACAGTCACAAAATCAGCGTTTCTCTAACAGGCTGAAACAGAGGGATATGAGGGATTTCTAAAATGCATGATCTGTTTGGTATTTTAAGCAAAACACATCATAGACGTGTTTTTTATATATTTGTATATATCTGAGACCCAAAATATATGCCTAAAAATAGCATGATGATTAAAATAACAGAAAGCAGAAACACATCAGTAAGCGTCGGGTATCAGCAGCCCCTTAATGATCTACTTCCTGTTCTCTCAGGTCGGGTAGAAGATGAGAGGATGAGACAGCTCGAGGAGAAGATCCAGAGTCTGAACAAAAACCTGCAGGACCTCCAGGCCAGCCTAAACACCGGAGGAGGTCCTTCTTCAGGAGGTTCTTCTTCAGGAGGTTCTTCTTCAGGAGGTTCCTCTTCAGGAGGTTCCTCTTCAGGAGGTTCTTCTTCAGGCGGGAGGAACCCGGCGGACGCCGCTCAGCCGGAGATTAAAGAGACCATCCACAGCATCCAGACCAAACTGGACCAGCTGGACAACCGCACACAGGCGAGTCAGCAAGGCTCTTTATATTGGAAGCCATCACTGATTTAATACGATACGACAATACGATAAACTGTATTACAGCTAATGAAACAAAGACAGATCCACTTAATGTAGCTCAATATTTAAAGAGGTCCTGCAGACCAGGAGGAGCAGAGATGGTACTGTACTGGATCTGGTCTAAAGTGTGTTTGCTCCAACAGGCTCATGATAAAACGCTGGTCAGCATCAACAACCACCTGGTGAACGGGAAGGGAGACGAGCTGGAGGCAGGTCCGTCCGGAGGGGGTCTGAGCGGGTGGAAGATGGACTCCCTGAAAGCAGAGATCCTCCAGGAGCTGGAGAGGAGGGTTTCGCTGTCCTGCTCCTCCTGTCAGGTATCAGTCCTCCGTTAAGGAGCCATCCATCCAGTACCAATGAAACATTCAAATCAAACCATGAACCCTGTTTTTCAGGCCGGTGTGGAAGATCTGCGCCGACAGCAGAGGGAGGGCCGCGAGCGCATCGCAGCTCTGGAGAAGAAGCTCAGTGACACGGACTCTCGGTACCGCCAGAACCTGGACGGGCTGCAACGCGAAGTGGTGCGACTGCGGGGGTGCTGCGACACCATGAACCACCTCCGAGACCGGGTCTCTGACGCTGAGCGGAAGATCAGTTCGGCCTCCGAGAACCTGGACCTTCTACAGACTAGGCTGGACAAGGACCTCAGCGGGGGGGGAGGCAACACTGTGGACGGCGGCAGCAGAGGATCAGGGGGCGGTGGGGGATCAGGGGTTGGGGACCGGGGGGGTAGTTGTGATGGAGGGTCGACTGGACCACCGGCTGAAGGACCTGGAGCGGCGGGTCAACAGCACCGTGCAGAGGACTGATATCCTGGACAACCACCTGAGCGTGTTCCTTGACCGGTTTGATGACCAGGCCTTCAGGGTCTCAGACGTGGAGCTGGATGTGGGGCTGCTGAAGGACCAGCTGAGCCACCAAGACCAGAGGCTGAGGAACCTGGAGAACATAATGAACACCACGACCCGGAGGCTGGAGGACTGCAGCTGTGGAGGATCAGAAGGTGGAGGAGGATCTAGAGGAGGAGGATCTACAGGAGGTGGATCCACAGGAGAAGGGGGATCTGAAGGAGGAGGGGGATCTAGAGGAGGTGGATCTACAGGAGGTGGATCCACAGGAGAAGGGGGATCTGAAGGAGGAGGGGGATCTAGAGGAGGTGAATCCACAGGAGGAGGATCCACAGGAGGAGGACTATCTGGGACAGGAGGTGGATCTACAGGAGGAGGATCCACAGGAGGAGGATCCACAGGAGGAGGATCCACAGGAGGAGGATCCACAGGAGGTGGGTCTACAGGAGGTGGATCTACAGGAGAAGGGGGATCTGAAGGAGGAGGGGGATCTAGAGGAGGTGAATCCACAGGAGGAGGACTATCTGGGACAGGAGGAGGATCCACAGGAGGAGGAAGGACCACAGAGAAGTCTTTGGAGTGGAGAGTCGTCGCCAACGAGGATCAGATCCGACACTTCAACACAGAACTCAAAGACCTGTCGGTGTCTGGAGACTCTCTGCAGAACAAGGTGAGGTCTGACCACGAGTCTGATGGTGATGGTGATGATGATGATGATGATGGTGATGGTGATGGTGATGATGGTGATGGTAATGGTGATGGTGATGATGGTGATGGTGATGGTGGTGGTGATGGTGATGGTGGTGATGGTGATGATGGTGATGGTGATGGTGATGGTGGTGGTGATGATGGTGGTGATGGTGATGGTGATGATGATGATGGTGGTGATGGTGGTGATGATGATGATGGTGGTGATGATGATGATGGTGATGATTGTGGTGGTGATGATGATGATGATGATGATGATGATGGTGGTGATGGTGGTGAGGATGATGATGGTCTATCAGTATGCTGTCGCTGCGATGATCATAAACGTTTTTTCCTCCTGAGGTTGTGGACCTGAGCCATGATGTTCATCAGATCAAGGCTCTGACCGGGGATCACGGTGAGAACTTCAACCGCATCGTGACGGAGGTGGAGATGCTGGGCCACGACTGCGTGCTGTGCGGGAAGGTGGAGGACGAGCTGCGACGACTGAAGAACCTCTCCCAGGATGCACTGGGGCTTATGCAGATCCACATCAACAGACTGCAGACCCGGCTGGACTCCGGCAGAGAAGGATGCTCCCAGATGTGTTCACAACTGGAGGACGATGTCCGCATGCTGTGGGACGACGTCAGGAGGTGCAGCTGTCCGGGTACGACCACAGGTCAGCCAATCACATGAGAGCTCTTTGAACCCCATCCCCAAAGTTACTCTTGCTTACCCGTTTACAAAGACGGTTTCAGAACCGAATACATCAAAATTCGTATTAATGTCCAAAAATAATGAAAACTCAGAACCCCCCTTATCATGTAGAGAGGTTTTACATAATTTATACCACGCTCAATCCCATATCGCAACGAATCAAAGAACGCTTGCATTGATCGGCTGTGAGGAAAACCAATAGAAGTTTTCAGAACTTGATACAAAGGGATGTAACTGTTGGTACTCGGTTATCTTCGGTTATTTCGGTGGCTATAGGGCTGCGTCTCAGGTCGACTATTTTCATTTCCTCGCTCGTCGGTCCTCGGTATAAGTTGATTTGTCTGCGCCATCTTGAGTAGCGTCCCATGGCTCTTATTTCTGCCGGAGGAGCGAGGAGCGATAATGGAGGAGCGATAATGGAGGAACCACCAGACCATCCTCCGGTGAAATCCTCAGCCACTCGCCCCGCCCCCTTACTGTGTATCGCTCACTGATTGGACGATGCAGCGCACTGATCTGATGCTTCTTGACATGAGAGCAGTTTCCCAGCGGAGTGAAGAAAACACATGAAACTCACGGGACTCACTCCTCAGTTCATACTGTGTTCTGTTTCAATGAATGCATCATTCAGTTACAAATATGTGATATATCTGAACAACAAAGTGGACAAAAATCATTTTATTCATTTATTGGAAACATTTTCGTGATCGCTTTTTCGTTTTACATTTTCATTTATTGTCATTTCCATTCAGTCAGTCATTAAGTGCTATTTAACATGTTAATGTGCTACATATCCACACAAACAGACAAAGTATGCAATCCAATGAATGTTAATCTAACTGGGTTTTGATAGATAACATATCTCTCTTTCTTCTCTGAGTTATTTTATTTCTATTGTGCACTCTAATCAATATTAATCCAACTATTGTTCGTTTATACATTTTAAGAATGGCGTTTATCTTTTTTGAGAATGAGTTCTTATTTAATGTATTTGGGTCTACAACAGATGATACAAATGTTTGTGTCAGTAAATGTGTACTAACAGAGGCCGGGGTGTTTGTGAAAACAACGGGGACAGAGCTGCTGTCAGACGATCAGCTGTGCAGCGTCATCACAAACGGACGTGGCTTCACGTGACGCTCCGGAGGAAAGGACGTCCCATTGCTCTTAAAACTCATTTCCCTGCTTCTCGTGGTTTCCTTGCGTCTCTCCATGCTTCCTGGTGGGAGGGACTAAACGCAGGGAAACCACGCAAGTGAGGGACGCAAGGATTCCATTTAATCGACCTGAGACGCAGCCTAGAAGACGTATTCAGGTGCTTTTAATATCTGTGAACATTTCTTCAAAATATGAGTTTATTGTCAAACTAAACTCCCAACAGGTGGTGGTTCTGGTGGTTCTGGTGGTTCCGGAGGTTCTGGAGGTTCTGGTGGCTCCATCAGACCCGGGTTGGGTGCTGAGAAGCCTTTAGATGGCCACAGTGTGATCGGAGGCTCGGTCAACAACAACCAGCTGAAGACGCTGCAGGCGGAGCTGTCGGAGGCCGTCCTGACCTTCCGCTCCATCAACGACTCCCTGAAGGGGCTCCAGCACACGGTGCAGAAGCACGGCAGCGTCCTCACAGACCTCGGTGAGTCTAGTGAAGCCCACTCTCTGCTGCTTCTCTGAACTCTAAACTCTAAATACTGCTATAGTTTGCTATATTTTTTATAATTTTTATAAAAAAATGTATTATAGTTTTTTTAATATAGTTCTCTATCTGCGTTTTTCATTTCTGTTTTACTTTTATGTATGCAACTTGACACCAAGTCAAATTCCTGGTACGTGTCAACCTACCTGGTGATACACCTGATTCTGATTCTCTGACAGGAAACACAAAGGACAAGATCATCTCTGAGCTGGACAAGATCCAGCAGGAGGTGAGGGAGCACATCGAGGAGAGCCAGGTCCGCCTGCAGGGGGTGGAGCAGGACGTCCGGCGGGTCGACAGCACCCTGCTGGTGGAGGTGGGTGACTGCAGGAGGTCCGGAGACGGGCTGGAGAAGAGGCTGTCCAAGCTGGAGGGCGTCTGCAGCCGGCTGGACGGCGTCTCCATGTCCATCCTCAACATCAAGGAAGGTGATGGTGCTTTATCTCAGCAGATCTTATTCATCCCTTAGCTGACACCCTTACCCTTTAACCTTTGACCCTTCTAAGTCCTAACCCCTGTGTTTTGACGTGTCGTCTCCCATGTGTTGACGTGTCGTGTCCTGTGTTTTGACGTGTCGTGTCCCGTGTTTTGACGTGTCGTGTCCCGTGTTTTGACGTGTCGTGTCCCATGTGTTGACGTGTCATGTCCCGTGTTTTGACGTGTCGTGTCCCGTGTTTTGACGTGTCGTGTCCCATGTTTTGACGTGTCGTGTCCCATGTTTTGACGTGTCGTGTCCCATGTTTTGACGTGTCGTGTCCCATGTTTTGTCGTGTCGTGTCCCATGTTTTGACGTGTCGTCTCCCATGTGTTGACGTGTCGTGTCCCATGTTTTGACGTGTCGTCTCCTATGTGTTGACGTGTCGTGTCCCATGTGTTGACGTGTCGTGTCCCATGTTTTGACGTGTCGTGTCCCATGTTTTGGCGTGTCGTGTCCCATGTTTTGACGTGTCGTGTCCTGTGTTTTGACGTGTCGTGTCCCGTGTTTTGACGTGTCGTGTCCCATGTGTTGACGTGTCGTGTCCCGTGTTTTGACGTGTCGTGTCCCGTGTTTTGACGTGTCGTGTCCCATGTGTTGACGTGACGTGTCCCATGTTTTGACGTGTCGTCTCCCATGTGTTGACGTGTCGTGTCCCATGTTTTGACGTGTCGTGTCCCATGTGTTGACGTGTCGTCTCCCATGTGTTGACGTGTCGTGTCCCATGTTTTGACGTGTCGTGTCCCATGTTTTGGCGTGTCGTGTCCCATGTTTTGACGTGTCGTCTCCCATGTGTTGACGTGTCGTGTCCCATGTTTTGGCGTGTCGCGTCCCATGTTTTGGCGTGTCGTGTCCCATGTTTTGGCGTGTCGTGTCCTGTGTCGTGTCCCATGTGTTGATGTGTCGTGTCCCATGTTTTGGCGTGTCGTGTCCCATGTTTTGACGTGTCGTCTCCCATGTGTTGACGTGTCGTGTCCCATGTTTTGACGTGTCGTGTCCCATGTGTTGACGTGTCGTGTCCCATGTTTTGACGTGTCGTGTCCCATGTTTTGACGTGTCGTCTCCCATGTGTTGACGTGTCGTGTCCCATGTTTTGACGTGTCGTGTCCCATGTTTTGACGTGTCGTGTCCCATGTTTTGACGTGTCGTCTCCCATGTGTTGACGTGTCATGTCCCATGTTTTGACGTGTCGTCTCCCATGTGTTGACGTGTCGTGTCCCATGTGTTGACGTGTCGTGTCCCATGTTTTGACGTGTCGTGTCCCATGTTTTGGCGTGTCGTGTCCCATGTTTTGACGTGTCGTCTCCCATGTGTTGACGTGTCGTGTCCCATGTTTTGGCGTGTCGTGTCCCATGTGTTGACGTGTCGTCTCACATGTGTTGAAGTGTCGTGTCCATGTTTTGGCGTGTCGTGTCCCATGTTTTGACGTGTCGTCTCCCATGTGTTGACGTGTCGTGTCCCATGTTTTGGCGTGTCGTGTCCCATGTGTTGACGTGTCGTGTCCCATGTTTTGACGTGTCGTCTCACATGTGTTGAAGTGTCGTGTCCCATGTTTTGACGTGTCGTGTCCCATGTTTTGACGTGTCGTGTCCCATGTGTTGACGTGTCGTGTCCCATGTTTTGGCGTGTCGTGTCCCATGTTTTGACGTGTAGTGTCCTGTGTTTTGGCGTGTCGTGTCCCATGTTTTGACGTGTCGTCTCCCATGTGTTGACGTGTCGTGTCCCATGTTTTGACGTGTCGTCTCCCATGTTTTGACATGTAGTCTCCCATGTGTTGACGTGTCGTCTCCCATGTGTTGACGTGTCATGTCCCATGTTTTGACGTGTAGTCTCCCATGTGTTGACGTGTCATGTCCCATGTGTTGACATGTAGTCTCCCATGTGTTGACGTGTCGTGTCCCATGTGTTGACGTGTCGTGTCCCATGTTTTGACGTGTCGTGTCCCATGTTTTGACGTGTCGTGTCCCATGTTTTGACGTGTCGTCTCCCATGTTTTGACGTGTCGTGTCCCATGTTTTGACGTGTCGTGTCCCATGTTTTGACGTGTCGTGTCCCATGTTTTGACGTGTTCTACCCCATGTATTGACGTGTTGTGTCCCGTGTATTGACATGGTGTGACCTGTGTTTTGACGTGTTGTGTCCTGTGTATTGACATGTTTTACCCCATGTATTGACGTGTTGTGTCCTGTGTTTTGATGTGTTGTGACCTGTGTTTTGACGTGTGTATTAACGTGTTGTGACCTGTGTTGTGACCTGTGTTGTGACCTGTGTTTTGACGTGTGTTTTGACGTGTTGTGACCTGTGTTTTGACGTGTTGTGACCTGTGTTTTGACGTGTTGTGACCTGTGTATTAACGTGTTGTGACCTGTGTATTAACGTGTTGTGACCTGTGTTTTGACGTGTTGTGACCTGTGTTTTGACGTGTTGTGACCTGTGTATTAACGTGTTGTGACCTGTGTATTAACGTGTTGTGACCTGTGTTTTGACGTGTTGTGACCTGTGTTTTGACCTGTGTTTTGACGTGTTGTTCCCCTTGTTTTGACGTGTTGTGTTCAGGTCTGAACCGACATGTCTCCAGCTTGTGGACGTGTGTTTCTGGTCTGAATGAGTCAGTGGTCCATCACGGAGGAATCTTGGACTACATTCAGAAGAACCAGGAGGATGTCTACAGCAGGATGAAGAACCTGAACTCGAGCGTGAACCAGGTCTTCAAGGAGATGCAGACCTCCTCGGAGCGAGACCTGAACAGTGAGTGTCTGTTTCTCCTCGTCTTTCTGTTTCTGTGCTTCTCTCTGTGGTTTACTGCAGCTGCTGAGCGTCCTGATGACTGTCCACCTTCAGTTACTGAAGGAACCGAGAGGAACATCTTAAAGAGGCCCTCCAATGAGACACCGTTTTTTAATCAACAGTTCATATCATCCACAGGCCTGCCAGGACCCCAAGGACCCCCAGGACCCTCCGGAGAGAGAGGCTTTAACGGGCTGCCGGGTCCCCGAGGGCCTCTGGGACCTCCAGGACGACCTGGAGAGACAGGGTCTCATGGTAGGCCAGATATGTTATAGAAATATACTTTATATGTCCTGTTTTTGGCAGGGTCTCTTTGTGTGCTAACATCATTAGCAACAGCAGTAACCATGGAAACAGAATAATCTGTAACCTTGATGTGTTTCCTGTTTGTTTGTTCAGGACGTCCCGGGGGTGACGCTCACGTTCCCAGACTGGCGTTCTCCGCTGCTCTTACGGTTCCCATGGAGCGAGCCGGAACCATCGTCTTTGATAAGACCTTTGTCAACGAAGGAGATTTCTACGACCCGAAGACAGGTAAACATGACTCGGCAGGTTCTGCTGCAGGTTCTCCTGCTGAACGCTATCACTGTTTCTCCACATACTGTAGTCTGACTTCGTACTGAAAAACTTCCTTGAGAGGAATACATCCTTCCAGTTTTCACTCAGTTGGGGCAGGACCACAGAATCTGGGTGGGATTATTTCCTCCAGCATTTATCCGAGCCCGTTTGATTCCATCTGTCACTTGTGGGGTTCTGAAATATCTTGTTATAACTTTCCATGTAAACTCTCTCCAGATGTTTGGTCACTAAGTGTGCTCCTTCACACACCTGCTCCAAGGTTTCAGGAATGATGGTTGTGCCTTTTTCAGTCCCCACTTGTTTTTTACATGTAAGGTAAGGCTCAAAACCCGAGGGCACCGAGCCTTCTCAGCAGCTGGCCCGAGGCTCTGGAACACTCTGCCCCTCCATGTGAGGTCGGCCCAGACCCTAGGGGGTTTTAAATCATCACTAAAAACACACTTCTTCTCTCTGGCCTTCTAGTCAGAGCGGAGCACGACTCCTGACTTTTCCTTGTGTTTTGTTTTATTTTTTATATATATCTGTTGTAATTTATTGTCTTTTATTGTGATTGTAGTAATGTGTTTTTATGTACAGCACTTTGGCTCGACCAAAAATCGCTTTTAAATGTGCTTTATAAATAAAACTTGAAGGTGTTGTTGGAGTCCATAGAAGAAAATATGATGTATAATTTGGAGATTATTTTCTTACTATTATGGATGGATTGTATCTCTTTGAGAAAAAGCTCAATTTGAGAGCGCTTTTTAACTTTTGTTAGAAACTTGTAAGTATCTATAAAAATCTGTTTGAGGAAGTTTGAATTCATAAGATTTAGATTCACCATTATGAAACAACTGTTGCCAATGTGTTCTGTGTGCTAACACCATTAACTATGTGTGTGTGCCCCCCCCCCAGGTGTGTTCACGGCCCCCGTAGACGGACACTACTTCTTCAGCGCCGTCCTGACGGGTTATAAGAACGAGAAGATCGAGGCGGTTCTGTCCAAGTCCAACTATGGCATGGCCCGGGTGGACTCGGGAGGCTACCAGCCCGAAGGCCTGGAGAACAACCCGGTGGCCGAGACCAGAACCCCCCCCGGGTCGCTGGCCGTGTTCAGCCTCATCCTGCCGCTGCAGAGCCAGGACACGGTGTGCGTGGACCTGGTGACGGGGAGGCTGGCCCACTCTGCGGAGCCGCTCACCATCTTCAGCGGCTCCCTGCTGTACGAGGACCGCTGATCCAGACCTCGATCCGGACCGCTGATCCGGACCTTTGATCCGGACCCCTGACCCGGACCTTTGATCCGGACCCCTGACCCGGACCTTTGATCCGGACCTTTGATCCGGACCCCTGACCCGGACCTTTGATCCGGACCTTTGATCCGGACCCCTGACCCGGACCTTTGATCCGGACCCCTGACCCAGATCTTTGATCCGGACCTTTGATGAACTTCTGATGATGATGAGGAGGGGGTGGGCGGAAAGATGGACGCTTGTCGCCATCCCCCCCCCATGCAGACAACTCTGTCTTTATAGAGACTTTATTAAGAGAAGAGCAGATGTTTTAAACAGAGCTGGGGTGGGGGGGGGATCTGATGAACTCTGTAGGATGATGATGAGGATGATGAGGAGGACTGGGAGCTGGACAGAAAGATGCCCCCCCCCAGACCACGCTGTCTTTATAAAGACTTTATAGAGGGAAAAGCAGCTCTGTATTCCTGACCCTGTAAACAAACACATTACAGTTTGAAGTTTTCTTCAACAGCATATACTCCAAGTATTACAAAGTACTGCAGTACCTGATGAAATGAGAAACCTGCAGCGATGTCACAGTTTTAAACTAAACACAGATATTTAATCTGACGGTAAGAACTGGTTATTATGAATGAAGTATTTTATCTCAGTTACTGAAGGACAGATATTTAAAGCACATGTACTTAAGAAACTTTATTCTGATACACGTCACTCTTTGTAAGATTAATATCTCACTGTCATTAAACACGAGTGAACCACGTCTGTTACATTCTTCTTCTTTCCCGCAGGTCTGGTGGTCAGCTTAATATTATTATATATATTATATATATATATATTATTTAATATGTACTTATAAAATGGACAAGTCAAAACAAGCAATCTGATTGGTTCTTAGCCGTGATATAATGAGCGTATATCACAGGTAGAATTGTAGTTACTTTTCACAAGTCAGTATCCCTCCGCGTCTGAGAAAAGCTACAACCGTTACAACTGTTACATTTAGTCCGTTACGAAACAAACTTACAAAGCATAAGATGGAAACATGTAAGGTATAATGGAGGAGTGGATTGAGGGGGGGGGGTCTCACTATGGAGGAGTGGATTGAGGGGGGGGGGGTCTCACTATGGAGGAGTGGATTGAGCAGTGCCTATCTCCAGAGAGCACCTAAAGGACGACCTGCAGAGCTACGTGAAGAGCAGGTAGACCAACTGGAAAGGTACCACCATTCAAAAGCTTTCTGATGCGGGTCTTGAAGCAAAGCAGAGAAATGATGAGCGTTAGTGGCCTCAGGTGAGAAAGCTCTCTCCAGAGCTACTGGAAGCCCAATCTCAGGGACCGGAGAAAGTGGAGCAATATTCTCTCCACGCCAAAGAACAGCCTAGAACAACCTCCGCCTATACAAGTAACCACGTAAGCCATGCTGCTGATGCTGGACAGGTTTTCAGTGGGTGCACAATAAACAGCAACATACAGATGAATGTAAATAAATAGCCAAATAATGGATCAACGCTCTCTGTCTAATATGTTCGCTACCTGTTAGTGTTGTTGCATAGCAACCACCTCGCAGAAGGCAATGGAGGGACTATTTTATTTTGAACATCATTATTTACTAATAATAACTATTTAAATTAGAGTGTGTATTCTTCTTTCATATTGCCACACTTGGTAACCGTTTTATAAAAGCAATAGCTCACTTCAGGCCATGATATATGGTCATTATATCACAGCTAAGGGACGTGGTTCGGCCCGACGCGTGGGCCGAACCACGTCCCTTAGCTGTGATATAATGACCATATACCACGGCCTGTCGTGGGCTATTGCTTAAATATCCAGCCCCCAGACACAGATCCAGACACAGGTCCAGACACAGGTCCAGACACAGGTCCAGACACAGGTCCAGACACAGGTCCAGACACAGATCCAGACACAGGTCCAGACACAGATCCAGACACAGGTCCAGACACAGATCCAGACACAGGTCCAGACACAGGTCCAGACACAGGTCCAGACACAGATCCAGACACAGGTCCAGACACAGGTCCAGACACAGGTCCAGACACAGGTCCAGACACAGATCCAGACACAGATCCAGACACAGGTCCAGACACAGGTCCAGACACAGGTCCAGACACAGGTCCAGACACAGGTCCAGACACAGATCCAGACACAGATCCAGACACAGGTCCAGACACAGGTCCAGACACAGGTCCAGACACAGGTCCAGACACAGATCCAGACACAGGTCCAGACACAGGTCCAGACACAGATCCAGACACAGATCCAGACACAGGTCCAGACACAGGTCCAGACACAGGTCCAGACACAGGTCCAGACACAGGTCCAGTCAACAGTCATCTGGAAACTCAGAGGAGTCATCAAACAGTTTAGTAACTCTTCTGAACGTCTTCAGTCCATCCGATCCGCTCGGGGGAGAAACAGAGTCCAGAGTACTGCAGTACAGGGTCTACCTTAAATATTTACTCACACAGCTGTCTCGCTCTCATCACAAACATTTAAACATCATCAGGATGTAAACAGTGTTCTGGTTTCAGGATTACAAAATAAAGACAGTGATTGAGTTTGTAAACAGGAAGGAACTTCATTTATTGATCATTAACAATCAGATTGTATATTTTCATAGATAAACACATCTCTTTAATAATCTGACGAGGAACATTCATTAGTATAGTGCAACGTGTTTTCATGGCTTCATTTGACACCTGACAGTGAGCCTGCAGACAAAGAGCAGGGACAAACCCCCCCCCAAACCATATTAACCCTGACAGTGAGCCTGCAGACAAAGAGCAGGGACAAACCCCCCCCCAAATCATATTAACCCTGACAGTGAGCCTGCAGACAAAGAGCAGGGACAAACCCCCCCAAACCATATTAACCCTGACAGTGAGCCTGCAGACAAAGAGCAGGGACAAACCCCCCCCCAAACCATATTAACCCTGACAGTGAGCCTGCAGACAAAGAGCAGGGACAAACCCCCCCCCCAAACCATATTAACCCTGACAGTGAGCCTGCAGACAAAGAGCAGGGACAAACCCCCCCCCAAACCATATTAACCCTGACAGTGAGCCTGCAGACAAAGAGCAGGGACAAACCCCCCCCAAACCATATGAACCCTGACAGTGAGCCTGCAGACATCATGTTTACATCTTCAGATTCAGTGTTTGTGATCGGGATGGTGTGTAAACAGGAAGTGATGTCTCGGTGTAAACAGGAAGTGATGTCACTGCTTGACTGGCAGGAAGCGCTGTGATTTCTGCCTCTTCATGCTGTGCTGCCGCTGCCTCACCTGAGCCTCGGAGATCACAGTCTGCAGCTTCTGTTACCGTGGCAACACACACACACACACACACACACACACACACACACACACACACACACACACACACACACACACACACACACACACACACACACACACACACACACACACACACACACACACACACACACACACACACACACACACACACACACACACACACACACACACACACACACACACACACACACACGTTATTGTGTACAGTATTACCAGTGTTATGAATGGTTATAGGTGTGTTGATGTTACCTGAGCGCTGTCAGAGTCTCTGAGCTGGAGACGCCTCACCGGCTGACTGTCTCTCTGAAACCCCCCCTTCTGATCCTGATAGACAGACAGGTGAGACACAGACAGGTGAGAGACAGACAGGTGAGAGACAGACAGGTGAGAGACAGACAGGTGAGAGACAGACAGGTGAGACACAGACAGGTGAGAGACAGACAGGTGAGAGACAGACAGGTGAGAGACAGACAGACAGACAGGTGAGAGACAGACAGACAGACAAGTGAGAGACAGACAGACAGACAGAGAGACAGACAGAGAGACAGACAGACAGACAGACAGATGAGAGACAGACAGACAAGTGAGAGACAGACAGACAGACAGAGAGACAGACAGACAGACAGACAGACAGACAGGTGAGAGACAGACAGACAGACAGAGAGACAGGTGAGAGACAGACAGACAGACAGACAGAGAGACAGACAGACAGACAGACAAGTGAGAGACAGACAGACAGAGAGACAGACAGAGAGACAGACAGACAGACAGACAGGTGAGAGACAGACAGACAAGTGAGAGACAGACAGACAGACAGACAGACAGGTGAGAGACAGACAGACAGACAAGTGAGAGACAGACAGACAGACAGGTGAGAGACAGACAGACAGACAGACAGATAGACAGAGAGACAGACAGACAGACAGACAGGCGGACAGGTGAGAAACAGACAGACAGACAGATAGACAAGTGAGAGACAGACAGACAGACAGACAGACAGACAGACAGGTGAGAAACAGACATACAGACAGACATACAGACAGACAGACAGACAGGTGAGAAACAGACATACAGACAGACAGACAGGCGGACAGGTGAGAAACAGACAGACAGACAGATAGACAAGTGAGAGACAGACAGACAGACAGAGAGACAGACAGACAGACAGGTGAGAAACAGACATACAGACAGACAGACAGAGAGACAGACAGACAGACAGGTGAGAAACAGACATACAGACAGACAGAGAGACAGACAGACAGACAGACAGACAGACATACATACAGACAGACATACAGACAGACATACAGACAGAGAGACAGACAGAGAGACAGACATACAGACAGACAGACAGACAGGTGAGAAACAGACAGACAGACAGACAGACAGACAGAGAGACAGACAGACAGACAGACAGACAGACAGGTGAGAAACAGACATACAGACAGACAGACAGACAGACAGACAGACAGACAGAGAGACAGACAGACAGACATACAGACAGACATACAGACATACAGACAGACAGAGAGACAGACATACAGACATACAGACAGACAGACAGGCAGACAGACAGACAGGTGAGAGACAGGCAGACAGACAAGTGAGAGACAGACAGACAGACAGACAGACAGATAGACAGAGAGACAGACAGACAGGTGAGAGACAGACAGACAAGTGAGAAACAGACAGACAGACAGACAGACAGGTGAGAAACAGACAGACAGACAGACAAGTGAGAGACAGACAGACAGACAGACAGACAGACAAGTGAGAGACAGACAGACAGACAGACAGGTGAGAGACAGACAGACAGACAAGTGAGAGACAGACAGACAGACAGACAGACAGAGAGACATACAGAGAGACAGACAGACAGACAGGTGAGAAACAGACATACAGACAGACATACAGACAGACAGACAGACAGGTGAGAAACAGACAGACGAGAAACAGACATACAGACAGACAGACAGAGAGACAGACAGGTGAGAAACAGACATACAGACAGACAGACAGAGAGACAGACAGGTGAGAAACAGACATACAGACAGACAGACAGACAGACAGAGAGACAGACAGACAGACAGGTGAGAAACAGACATACAGACAGACAGGCAGACAGAGAGACAGACAGACAGACAGACAGGTGAGAAACAGACATACAGACAGACAGACAGACAGACAGACATACAGACAGACAGACATACAGACAGACAGACAGAGAGACAGACAGACAGACAGACAGACAGACAGACAGACAGACAGAGAGACAGATAGAGAGACAGACAGACAGACAGACATACAGACAGACAGACAGACAGATAGAGAGACAGACAGACAGACAGACAGACAGACAGATAGAGAGACAGACAGACAGACAGACAGACAGACAGACAGACAGACAGACAGAGAGACAGACAGACAGAGAGACAGACAGACATACAGACAGACAGACAGACAGACAGATAGAGAGACAGACAGACAGACAGACAGACAGACAGATAGAGAGACAGACAGACAGACAGACAGACAGACAGATAGAGAGACAGACAGACAGACAGACAGAGAGACAGACAGACAGACAGACAGACAGACAGACAGACAGTTACCTTGCAGTAGATGTTGAGCTGTGTTCCCTCTAAAGATGGCGGTCTGTAGAAGTTCTCAAACAGACACTCCCACTCTCTGTTAAAGTGACCCAGGAAGTCAACCTGCTTCACACACAGCACCCTCCTACACAACAACAACACAATAATAAACAACAACAACATACAATAATAAGACCAACACCATTCACACCAGAGCCCAGTAATACATTTAATTATTGCAAAGAGAATGAGGAGAATGAGGTGAAGCGAATGTGAGTCTATCCACGTCCTAGCCTTTACATGTTATCACACCGCCCAAACATTTTGCATGGCGTCCGGGGAGAATGCAGCATTATGTTCCGTGAGAAGAACAGGTAGACGAGTACCTGTTGGTGATGATGATGGAGGTCTTCTTCTGTCCGGGGTACGGACAGTGATCCCTGAACACCTCCCCGTCCAGCTGCTTGATCTGAGAGCGCTGAACACACACACATTATTATTATTATTCATATTACATCATAATCCGTTTTATTTATAAAGGCGCCTTTCAAGGCTCTCAAGGTCGCCCTACAAGGTGATGTTGATGGAAATGAGCAGACTGAATGACAGTACTGAGAGGAGGGTGAGACTGAGGAGATGTTGATGGAAATGGAGAAAGTGTCAGGTTTGGAGAGGGTGGATCTGGGGCCACTGAGGAGAACCTCGGTTTGATCGCTGCTAAGTTTGAGGAAGTTGTGGGAGAACCAGGATTTGATTTCCTGTAAGCAATCAGAGAGAGAGGTGGGAGGGAGGCTGGAGGACAAATAGAGCTGGGTGTCCTCCGCGTAACAATGAAAGTGAATGTTGAATAAAGATAGAGGAAGATATGGCCAAGAGGAAGTAGATGATGAAAAGAAGAGGCCCCAGGACAGAGCCCTGGGGAACACCGGTAGTGACTGGGAGTGGCTCTGAGTTGGATGAACTGACATTATACAGATACGAATGTATGTGTAGTACACATTATACAGAGGGTGATCACAGTATGAATACTACCATACAAGTATATGTGTAGTACACATTATACAGAGGGTGATCACAGTATGAATACTACCATACAAGTATATGTGTAGTACACATTATACAGAGGGTGATCACAGTATGAATACTACCATACGAGTATATGTGTAGTACACATTATACAGAGGGTGATCACAGTATGAATACTGCCATACGAGTATATGTGTAGTACACATTATACAGAGGGTGACCACAGTATGAATACTACCATACGAGTATATGTGTAGTACACATTATACAGAGGGTGACCACAGTATGAATACTACCATACAAGTATATGTGTAGTACACATTATACAGAGGGTGATCACAGTATGAATACTACCATACGAGTATATGTAGTACAGTAGAGACTTTAATAATGTCCGCTCAGTAGTTATAGCGCAGTACAAAGAGAGACAGATGCTTTCAGCAGATGGCATCACAAAGACACATTTATTATAAATCAATATGAATATACGGTGTTAACATGAATTCAGAGGGGATGCTACCATCTCTTAGAGATAACTCATACATCACAAGATAATCAAATATCTCCACTGCTAGGTAACAATTAAAATATGCTTATGGACTCCAGTTATTATACAGACTGTAATCACACAGCGTGAAGAATGACTCCAGTTATTATACAGACTGTAATCACACAGCGTGAAGAGAGACAGGACAGTATTATACAGACTGTAATCACACAGCGTGAAGAGAGACAGGACAGTATTATACAGACTGTAATCACACAGCGTGGAGAGAGACAGGACAGTATTATACAGACTGTAATCACACAGCGTGGAGAGAGACAGGACAGGAAGGAGGTCAGGAAGAAAGTGAATAAAGTGAGACTAAAGACGTCTGACAGAAAGATATTAGATCGGCATACAGAGATTCATTAACAGAGTCAAGGAGGACAAAACAGATACAACTTTATTCCATCCAATCCACTTCCTCTTCAGGCTGCATGTGAGAAGAGGAAGAAGAGGATGAAGAGGATGAAGAAGAGGAGGAAGAAGAGGAGGAAGAGGGAGAGGAAGAGATAAAAGTGGTTAGAGGCAGAAATAAGAGGCTCGTAAGATGGAGTCCTACAGTCATTAAGAAGCTGATAACAAACGCTGCGTACTGATAGTACTACAGGAGTCAGGTTACCTGGAAGAGGTCGAAGCCCTGAGCCTCCGTCAGGTCGTACGGCCGAATGATCCCGTCCTCCTGGATCAGACGAACAGGACGCAGCCTGGAGACCTCCTCTGTGGACTCTGCAGCTCTACACACACACAGAGTGATCTGAGATCAGTACAGTCATCAGAGTGATCTGAGATCAGTACAGTCATCGGAGTGATTTGAGATCAGTACAGTCATCAGAGTGATCTGAGATCAGTACAGTCATCAGAGTGATTTGAGATCAGTACAGTCATCAGAGTGATTTGAGATCAGTACAGTCATCGGAGTGATTTGAGATCAGTACAGTCATCGGAGTGATTTGAGATCAGTACAGTCATCGGAGTGATCTGAGATCAGTACAGTCATCAGAGTGATCTGAGATTAGTACAGTCATCAGAGTGATTTGAGATCAGTACAGTCATCAGAGTGATCTGAGATCAGTACAGTCATCGGAGTGATCTGAGATCAGTACAGTCATCGGAGTGATTTGAGATCAGTACAGTCATCGGAGTGATTTGAGATCAGTACAGTCATCGGAGTGATTTGAGATCAGTACAGTCATCAGAGTGATTTGAGATCAGTACAGTCATCAGAGTGATTTGAGATCAGTACAGTCATCAGAGTGATTTGAGATCAGTACAGTCATCAGAGTGATTTGAGATCAGTACAGTCATCAGAGTGATTTGAGATCAGTACAGTCATCAGAGTGATCTGAGATCAGTACAGTCATCGGAGTGATTTGAGATCAGTACAGTCATCGGAGTGATCCGAGATCAGTACAGTCATCGGAGTGATTTGAGATCAGTACAGTCATCGGAGTGATTTGAGATCAGTACCGTCATCAGAGTGATTTGAGATCAGTACAGTCATCAGAGTGATCTGAGATCAGTACAGTCATCAGAGTGATTTGAGATCAGTACAGTCATCAGAGTGATTTGAGATCAGTGCAGTCATCAGAGTGATTTCAGATCAGTGCAGTCATCAGAGTGATTTCAGATCAGTACAGTCATCAGAGTGATTTCAGATCAGTACAGTCATCAGAGTGATTTCAGATCAGTGGATCAGAGACCGGATCAGGGCTCAAAGTGCTGTCAGTGCTCACCTTTCATGACCTCTACAGAGACAGCATGAAACGCAACGTCAACAGGTTAACAGGAAGTGACACAGGTCACATGACAGGATGGAGGTCTCTGAGGCTGCTTGGAAATGTTTCAGGAACGCAAGCAGAGGCCACGACTGACTCACTAAAACACATTAATCCAGCTGTTTACACCTATATTATATACCCATGTACCTATGTACCCATATATACCCCTATATACACCTATGTACCCCTATATACCCACATATACACCTATGTACCCATATATACCCACATATACACCTATGTACCCATTTATACCCATATATACCCCTATATACCCATATATACCCATATATACCCATATATACCCACATATACCGGCAGTGGCTCAGTCAGTAGGGGCTTGGACTGGGAGCCGTAGGGTCGCTGGTTCAAGTCCCCGACCAGACCTAAATATGGAGTGTGGACTTCTACTTGGAGAGGTCCCAGTTCACCTCCTGCCCTGCCGTGGTGCCCTTGAGCAAGGCACCGGACACCCCCCTTCCCCCCCACTCCCATTGCTCCCCGGGCGCTGTACAATAGCTGCCCACTGCTCCTAGTACTAGACTCCTTGTACTAGGATGGGTTAAAAGCAGAGGCCAAATTTCACTGTGTGTGCTGTGTGCTCTGCATGTGTGACCATTAAAGAGGGTAATCCCTCCCTATTCTATTCTATTCTATATACACCTATGTACCCATATATACCCATATATACCCCTATATACACCTATGTACCCACATATACACCTATGTACCCATTTATACCCATATATACCCCTATATACCCATATATACCCACATACCCCTATATACCTATATATACCCACATACCCCTATATACCCCTATATACCCCTATATACCCACATATACCCCTATATACCCATATATACCCACATACCCCTATATACCCACATATACCCCTATATACCCATATATACCCACATACCCCTATATACCCATATATACCACTATATACCCACATATACCCACATATACCCCTATATACCACATACCACTATATACCCACATATACCCACATATACCCCTATATACCCACATATACCCACATATACCCCTATATACCCACATATACCCACATACCCCTATATACCCATATATACCCCTATATACCCACATACCACTATATACCCACATATACCCACATATACCCACATATACCCCTATATACCCATATATACCCACATACCCCTATATACCCATATATACCCCTATATACCCACATACCACTATATACCCACATATACCCACATATACCCCTATATACCCACATATACCCACATACCCCTATATACCCCTATATACCCATATATACCCACATACCCCTATATACCCATATATACCCACATACCCCTATATACCCATGTATACCCACATACCCCTATATACCCATATATACCCCTATATACCCCTATATACCCCTATATACCCACATACCACTATATACCCACATATACCCACATATACCCACATATACCCCTATATACCCACATATACCCACATACCCCTATATACCCCTATATACCCCTATATACCCACATACCCCTATATACCCATATATACCCCTATATACCCACATATACCCCTATATACCCCGACAGGACTGGTTCCCTAAAGCTCTAAAGAGAGTCCTCTGCTGACTCAGCCCAAGGCTGCAGCTCTTCACTCACTGAAGATAAAAGAAGCTTGACTCAAGTCTTCAGCTGAAGTATTATTAAATATAAAATGCTAAAAATCTTGATCCTTAAAGTCCTTTTCCGGACGATCTTAGATTGAGTTTAATTCCACCTCCTTCGCTCCATGACCACAGCATGCTGGAGTTGATCTGTCTGAGAAGATGCCGGATATAAAATGTAACTCTAACTGCTGGTAAACAGCTCTTTAAGGTGAGTTCACTTGAGATTTAGGGTCATGTGACCTCCTGGGGGGCGTGGCCTCACGATGCTGGGGGCGGGGCTACGAGCGGTGACAGCATGAATCAGGACTCGATGGACAGATGGAGATTTTATTTCAACACGATGCAGCACTTACCTCCGTCTGCTGCAGGAACAAAAACAACAACAACAACAACAACAACATGCACAAACACACGCCAAAGCTGCCCCCCCCACTATATCATATTATAGATTCATATCGTATATATAACACTACAGGCTGCTCCCCCCCTATATCATATAATAGATATATAAATATAGATATGAAACTCCAGGAGCAGCGGTGAAGGAGGTCAGCTTTAACGCGTGAAAGGACAAATACTCACACCAGAAGAAAAGAAAGAAAAGAAAGAACCAAACTCCGGGACACGACGACACGAGACAGAAAACAGAAACAGAACATTAGTGAGCAGAAGAAGAGCAGACAGGAAGTGTCTGCTGTAGACAGGAAGTACCTCTGGATGCCGTGGAAGGTGCTGCTGGCCATGTCCACGATGCCCCCGGTGGGCCGGGCCACCACGCCCACCAGACCCTTCCCGATGCCCTTAAAGAAGCCGGCCGCACCCTCCTTCCTGGCCCCTGCACACACATATAGATTATACACCTGCACAGTATATACCCCTATATATACACCTGCACAGTATATACCCCTATATATACACCTGTACAGTATATACCCCTATATATACACCTGTACAGTATATACCTCTATATATACACCTGTACAGTATATACCCCTATATATACACCTGCACAGTATATACCTCTATATATACACCTGTACAGTATATACCCCTATATATACACCTGCACAGTATATACCTCTATATATACACCTGTACAGTATATACCCCTATATATACACCTGTACAGTATATACCCCTATATATACACCTGCACAGTATATACCTCTATATATACACCTGTACAGTATATACCCCTATATATACACCTGCACAGTATATACCCCTATATATACACCTGTACAGTATATACCCCTATATATACACCTGTACAGTATATACCCCTATATATACACCTGTACAGTATATACCCCTATATATACACCTGCACAGTATATACCCCTATATATACACCTGTACAGTATATACCCCTATATATACACCTGTACAGTATATACCTCTATATATACACCTGTACAGTATATACCCCTATATATACACCTGCACAGTATATACCTCTATATATACACCTGTACAGTATATACCCCTATATATACACCTGTACAGTATATACCCCTATATATACACCTGCACAGTATATACCCCTATATATACACCTGTACAGTATATACCCCTATATATACACCTGTACAGTATATACCTCTATATATACACCTGTACAGTATATACCCCTATATATACACCTGCACAGTATATACCCCTATATATACACACCTGCACAGTATATACCCCTATATATACACCTGCACAGTATATACCTCTATATATACACCTGTACAGTATATACCCCTATATATACACCTGTACAGTATATACCCCTATATATACACCTGTACAGTATATACCCCTATATATACACCCTGCACAGTATATACCCCTATATATACACCTGTACAGTATATACCCCTATATATACACCTGTACAGTATATACCCCTATATATACACCTGTACAGTATATACCCCTATATATACACCTGCACAGTATATACCCCTATATATACACCTGTACAGTATATACCCCTATATATACACCTGTACAGTATATACCCCTATATATACACCTGCACAGTATATACCCCTATATATACACCTGCACAGTATATACCTCTATATATACACCTGCACAGTATATACCCCTATATATACACCTGTACAGTATATACCCCTATATATACACCTGTACAGTATATACCCCTATATATACACCTGCACAGTATATACCCCTATATATACACCTGTACAGTATATACCCCTATATATACACCTGCACAGTATATACCCCTATATATACACACCTGCACAGTATATACCCCTATATATACACCTGTACAGTATATACCCCTATATATACACCTGCACAGTATATACCCCTATATATATACACCTGCACAGTATATACCCCTATATATACACCTGTACAGTATATACCCCTATTTATACACCTGTACAGTATATACCCCTATTTATACACCTGTACAGTATATACCCCTATTTATACACCTGTACAGTATATACCCCTATATATACACCTGTACAGTGTATATACCCCTATTTATACCCCTATATATACACCTATAACTATATATACAGCTGTATATACCCTTATATATACACACTCATATGTCTACACAAACACCTGTATATACCCCTATATATTTACCAATATATATCCATACATACCTATATTTGTATATATCTAGGTATACTCACCTATATATACCCATATACTGTATCTATATTCAGCTATTCATGATGTATAACCAGGTTAACTCACCCTCCACAGGTTTGGTGACGATTCCTGTAACTCCCCCCAGGACGCCCTGCAGAGAGAGAGGCCATCAGATGTTGATTCATATATTATATATACTCCAGAGAGCTAGGACCCAGCGGTTTCCTCTCACGAAGGGTCCGAACCCTAGAGAGCTGGGACCCCAGCGGTTTCCTCTCACGAAGGGTCCGAACCCTAGAGAGCTAGGACCCAGCGGTTTCCTCTCACGAAGGGTCCGAACCCTAGAGAGCTGGGACCCAGCGGTTTCCTCTCACAAAGGGCCCGAGCTCCAGAGAGCTAGGACCCAGCGGTTTCCTCTCACGAAGGGTCCGAACACTAGAGAGCTAGGACCCAGCGGTTTCCTCTCACGAAGGGTCCGAACACTAGAGAGCTAGGACCCAGCGGTTTCCTCTCACGAAGGGTCCGAACACTAGAGAGCTAGGACCCAGCGGTTTCCTCTCACGAAGGGTCCGAACACTAGAGAGCTAGGACCCAGCGGTTTCCTCTCACGAAGGGTCCGATCGCTAGAGAGCTAGGACCCAGCGGTTTCCTCTCACGAAGGGTCCGATCGCTAGAGAGCTAGGACCCAGCGGTTTCCTCTCACAAAGGGCCAGAGCTCCAGAGAGCTAGGACCCAGCGGTTTCCTCTCACAAAGGGTCCGATCGCTAGAGAGCTAGGACCCAGCGGTTTCCTCTCACAAAGGGCCAGAGCTCCAGAGAGCTAGGACCCAGCGGATTTCTCTCACGAAGGGTCCGAACACTAGAGAGCTAGGACCCAGCGGTTTCCTCTCACGAAGGGTCCGATCGCTAGAGAGCTAGGACCCAGCGGTTTCCTCTCACGAAGGGTCCGAACGCTAGAGAGCTAGGACCCAGCGGTTTCCTCTCACGAAGGGCCCGAGCTCCAGAGAGCTAGGACCCAGCGGTTTCCTCTCACGAAGGGTCCGAACACTAGAGAGCTAGGACCCAGCGGTTTCCTCTCACGAAGGGTCCGAACACTAGAGAGCTAGGACCCAGCGGTTTCCTCTCACAAAGGGCCAGAGCTCCAGAGAGCTAGGACCCAGCGGTTTCCTCTCACGAAGGGTCCGAACACTAGAGAGCTAGGACCCAGCGGTTTCCTCTCACGAAGGGTCCGATCGCTAGAGAGCTAGGACCCAGCGGTTTCCTCTCACGAAGGGTCTGAGCTCCAGAGAGCTAGGACCCAGCGGTTTCCTCTCACGAAGGGTCCGAGCTCCAGAGAGCTAGAACCCAGCGGTTTCCTCTCACGAAGGGTCCGATCGCTAGAGAGCTAGGACCCAGCGGTTTCCTCTCACGAAGGGTCCGATCGCTAGAGAGCTAGGACCCAGCGGTTTCCTCTCACGAAGGGTCCGATCGCTAGAGAGCTAGGACCCAGCGGTTTCCTCTCACGAAGGGTCCGAGCTCCAGAGAGCTAGGACCCAGCGCTTTCCTCTCACGAAGGGTCCGATCGCTAGAGAGCTAGGACCCAGCGGTTTCCTCTCACGAAGGGTCCGAACACTAGAGAGCTAGGACCCAGCGGTTTCCTCTCACGAAGGGTCCGAGCTCCAGAGAGCTAGGACCCAGCGGTTTCCTCTCACGAAGGGTCCGAGCTCCAGAGAGCTAGGACCCAGCGCTTTCCTCTCACGAAGGGTCCGATCGCTAGAGAGCTAGGACCCAGCGGTTTCCTCTCACGAAGGGTCCGAACACTAGAGAGCTAGGACCCAGCGGTTTCCTCTCACGAAGGGTCCGATCCAGCCGCGGCGCCAGGATTTCAATTGTGGGTGGGCCAATGTAATTTCGGCTGGGCCTGTTCTAATAGATGTTTCTCGTTAACAAAAATGTAATAAAAATAAATGCCTGCATATCATTGTAGGCAACTGTGTAATGCATATTTCCTATAGTAAAGACACTTTTTCAAAACCCTTCTCTTTTAAACATTTTCACTTATGAGAAGCTTAAATATTATTTAAATGATTAAGCGGCACGCCGCAATGAGTGAAAATAAATGTTATACTGCATGTTATTTAGTTTTGGTTCACAATACATTGATACGTTTAGAAACAAAGAGCATACAACGGCAGAATATGGAATAATGAGCGAGCACCTGATGTGTGTCTGTGTGGTTAGACCGCAGCCTGCTGTCCTTTAGCGGATCTAGCGAAGTGAGCGGCCGTGCGTAAAGGCACTGGTTCTCTGACGCGGCACTTTTCAGAGGCTGCAGATTTATCATTAGGCTACTTCCTTCTGATACTGCAGAGCTTTCATGAGCTGAAGTATACGTTTCATACTAAAGCAGCTGGGCAGCAGATACTGTTGCTTCACACTCATAAGCTTTGCTGATTTGGGCTGGAGAATGCCTGCCGCGTCTGGGTGCGCTCTGGTAGTTGCAAATGGCACCACATTTTAGCTCTACGTTTCTTAATCATTTTCCTAGATATTTAGTCTCAATATGAAATGAGGAATCTCTTGCTTTGCACACGTGACAATTATGTCCGGTAACACTTTACGTGTTCCCGATTTTTCTCAATGATCTCTCCCTGTCGGCCCTCTGGGTGGAGGATGGTTCCATGGTCAGACTTCTCGCACTGTCTGTAGTTTGTATTTCTCTCCATAGCTATTGCATGAGCTGCGCTGCATTCGTGTTTACTGAGAGCATAGTGGATATGTTTCCAGTCCCTGTAACCATCTTCTCCGCCGGCCCCGCCTCTCACTAAAATGCCGGCATATTTTACAAAACACACTGTCCTTGCTAATGCTATACTCCAATAATGTGTTCTTGTCATACCAGTGGGCAGCGGAGCTCCTTTTCTTTTGTCCGAAAAGTGTCTGAGGGTACTTTATGAGCTTTGGCTGTGTAGCCGCCGGGTCATCTATGGCTGAGAGGTCCGGCACTGGGATGCTATTTTCTGTTGACCTGCAACGGGTGCTACGTCCCGCAGAGGGACTGAGCTCAGCGGGGCACAACATTAAACACACTCTCGTCTCTCTAAGGCGGCACCTGCTGTGAGGATGACTCTTCTTACTCTTTCAAATGAAAATCTGAACATCGATTGTTGTGACATCGTTAGTGAGTGCGGTATATTTTTTGTGTCTGTGTCCAGTCCACTGTCCTCCATCTGCGCGCGCCCGCGAGACGTTCTACGATGTGTTTGCTCCAGCGCTTCCACTATGAGTTCGGTCCAAATTCACATTTTACGTTGCCCGATTACATTAATTCATGTTGCTTTTAATTTTCTAAGTTTTTTTTAAAGGGAAACACATGTTTGCTCTTATTTTATTATGTAATCGTTAGTTTTGATAATCAAAAATAAAAATGTTGGAAACTATATTTTCGCCCAGTCATTTTTGATCAATGAATGGGTGGGCCCAGTGACAGAGTGGGTGGGCCTAGGCCCAGTAGGCCCACCCATAACGCCGCGGCTGGTCCGATCGCTAGAGAGCTAGGACCCAGCGGTTTCCTCTCACAAAGGGCCCGAGCTCTAGAGAGCTAGGACCCAGTGGTTTCCTCTCACAAAGGGCCCGAGCTCCAGAGAGCTAGGACCCAGCGGTTTCCTCTCACAAAGGGCCCGAGCTCTAGAGAGCTAGGACCCAGTGGTTTCCTCTCACAAAGGGCCCGAGCTCCAGAGAGCTAGGACCCAGTGGTTTCCTCTCACAAAGGGCCCGAGCTCCAGAGAGCTAGGACCCAGTGGTTTCCTCTCACAAAGGGCCCGAGCTCCAGAGAGCTAGGACCCAGTGGTTTCCTCTCACGAAGGGCCAGAGCTCCAGAGAGCTAGGACCCAGTGGTTTCCTCTCACAAAGGGCCCGAGCTCCAGAGAGCTAGGACCCAGCGGTTTCCTCTCACGAAGGGCCTGAGCTCCAGAGAGCTAGGACCCAGTGGTTTCCTCTTATGAAGGGCCCGAGCTCCAGAGAGCTAGGACCCAGTGGTTTCCTCTCACAAAGGGCCCGAGCTCCAGAGAGCTAGGACCCAGTGGTTTCCTCTTATGAAGGGCCCGAGCTCCAGAGAGCTAGGACCCAGCGGTTTCCTCTCACAAAGGGCCCGAGCTCCAGAGAGCTAGGACCCAGCGGTTTCCTCTCACAAAGGGCCCGAGCTCCAGAGAACTAGGACCCAGCGGTTTCCTCTCACGAAGGGCCCGAGCTCCAGAGAGCTAGGACCCAGCGGTTTCCTCTCACGAAGGGCCCGAGCTCCAGAGAGCTAGGACCCAGCGGTTTCCTCTCACGAAGGGCCCGAGCTCCAGAGAGCTAGGACCCAGCGGTTTCCTCTCACGAAGGGCCCGAGCTCCAGAGAGCTAGGACCCAGCGGTTTCCTCACTAATGTGTGGTAGTCACATATAGTCTGCTCGCTTGAGGGGACGCTGGTGTGTTCTTCGCCGCTCTTCATGCCGACGCTTACTTCTCGTGTCTACCACTCCCTGCCATCAATCTATTTAATTCCCATACACAGCGGAAAGATTGTTCTCCTCTGGTTTTGTGTTTCTGCCATCTCCGTTGCTCAGCGCCGCGCCTCTCCCACTCCAACCTCTCCTCCTTCTCCCCTGTGGATGCTCTTCAAGTGGCCAAACTGGTCAGCTCGGCCAAGACCTCCACCTGCTCCCTGGACCCCATGCCCACAGCCCTGGTCAAGGACTGCCTACCCACCCTCTGTCCCTACATGGTGGTCATCATCAACGCTTCTCTGGCTCCTGGTATAGTCCCCAACAGCTTCAAAATGGCCTCAGTCACCCCCATACTCAAAAAACCTGGCCTGGACCCCGACGACCTCCAGAACCACCGGCCGATCTCCAACCTTCCCTTTCTAAGCAAAACTCTTGAAAGAGTGGTCGCCGGCCAACTCAATCTGTACATGTCCAACCATGAGCTCTATGAGCCCTTCCAATCCGGCTTCAGACAGCAACACAGCACTGAGACCGCCCTCATCAAGATCACCAACGATCTCCTCATTGCTGCTGACTCTGGCCGCCTCAGCATCCTCATCCTCCTGGACCTCTCTGCAGCGTTTGACACCATCTCTCACAACATCCTCCTCACCCGCCTCTCAGACCTCCTAGGTGTCACTGGCACAGCGCTGTCCTGGTTCACATCCTACCTCCATAACAGGAAACAGTTTGTCTCCATCAGTGGCTCAAACTCACCCCCGGCCCCAGTCCACCACGGTGTACCCCAGGGCTCTGTGCTTGGCCCCCTCCTGTTCACCATTTACATGCTCCCCCTCGGCCAGATCATCCGACATCATGGACTCAATTTCCACTGTTACGCTGATGATACCCAACTGTATCTCAGCACCACTCCATCCTCCCAGCTCCCCCCTCAGTCCCTCATCAACTGCCTGCATGACATCAAAACCTGGATGTCTTCTAACTACCTTAAGCTGAACAGCAATAAAACAGAGCTCATGGTTGTGGCACCCAAGGCCCTGCTCCAGAAGGTTGGTGACTTCATCCTCGAGGTCGACGGCTGCTCCATCTCCCCGTCTCCTGAAGCCCGCAACCTGGGTGTCATCCTTGACTCCACCCTTTCCTTCCATTCCCACGTCAAATCTGTGACCAAATCGGCCGTTTTCCACCTGAGGAACATTGCCAGACTCCGACCGTCACTCTCGGAGTCGGTTGCCGAAACCCTCGTGCATGCATTTGTCACCACCCGCTTGGACTACTGCCATGGTGTCCTGTTCGGGGTTCCCAAAAAAACCCCGGACAGGCTCCAGTATGTCCAAAACTGTGCTGCTAGGGTACTCACACACACAAAGCCGTGGCAGCACATCACTCCCACCCTCATCCACCTCCACTGGTTGCCGGTCAAGTCCCGTATATCCTACAAAGTCCTCCTCCTTACCTACAAGTCCCTCCATGCCCCCCAGTACCTATCGGACCTCCTTCACCCACATGCCCCACCCCGGAACCTGCGGTCCTCAGACTCTGGCCTGCTCACCACCCCCCGCACCAAACTGCGAACCTTCGGGGACAGAGCCTTCAGTGTGGCAGCCCCCACCCTCTGGAACGCTCTCCCTGCGGAGATTCGCAACATCCCCACACTCGACGCCTTCAAAAGGGCCCTCAAGTCCCATCTGTTTGCCAAGGCTTTCGGGCCCTAATCGATCTGTTGTTTTGTCTGTCTGACTTTTGTTTTGTTATGTTTTTCCTATACTAGTTGTAAAGCGACCTTGGGTCCCTTGAAAGGCGCTATATAAAATCAAGCTATTATTATTATTATTACATATAGTTTCTCCGATATGCAATAAACGTTGCACTCATTGGTTTTTTATTAGCGTCGCCCCTAAGGAAGTCAGCCATTTAAAGAAATTGCGTTTTTAGCGATCTTTAACAAACTCCTAGGGATCATAAAAAAATCAAATTCAGGATAAGTTAAGCGCATATCTAATACGATGCTAAATTACCAAGGAATAGTCGATAGCTCAAACTGGGAGAACGGACAATTTTTTACGATTTATGTTACAAACTACTTGCATATAGTTTGTCCAATATTCACAAAACGTGGTATACAAATTGCTCTTAAGATTGCAAACATATTTAAAATCAGCTCCCCACACGGCAGTCGGCCATTTTGGAAAAAGTTTTAGCAAACTTTCCAAAACTCCTCCAGGAGGACAGATCTTAAAAATGTCCATTCTCGACAGAATACCCACATATCATATGTGATGTTAATTTGCGAGGGAATAGTAAATAGCTCGAAAGATGAGGTCGTAGGTCACGGGAGAACACACAGATTTATATGTGTCAACCAAACATCGTCTGACGAGATTCCGGACCTGAGGCGATCCAGGCATCGATGGGTCTGTTCAACACTGCGTGCATTTTTAAATGTTTGTTATCTTATTATTTGAGGTACTACGGTAGTCCTGACCTTCAGCAGTCCTTTCCCTCCTTTGGCCAGACTCTCTCCGAAGTCTCGGGGCTGGCGGTTCATCTCCTCGCGGCGCTTCTGTTGGAACTCTTTATCCATGGTGATGGCGGCCAGACCTTTCCCCACCGAGCCTGTGATCCTGGAGACGACCCCTGCAGCGCCCCCTGCATGACAAAACACACTATTACATTACCCAGCATGCAACACTGGAGATGACCCCTGCAGCGCCCCCTGCAGGACGAGCAGAAAACACACTATTACATTTGTATTTCCACATGTATATTTTTTACTTTTATAATGCTATTTTATTTCTATTTGAGTTGTTAACATTTTAGATTGTTTATTTCTACTCTTTTAAATACAAAGCTGGATACCATCCCTGCAGCGCCCCCTGCAGGACCCAGCAGAACACTCCATTTCCAAACAACATTACCCAGCATGCACCTCCTCAGAACCACTTTACCCAGCATGCACCTCTGGAAAGACACTGTGTAGAAGAATAACTCACCGACGGTGTTTCCCAGCAGGGTGCGGACCCCGATGGCGAAGCCCTCAGCGAACTCCTCCGGGCCCTGGACGGCTCCCTGAGGGACGCCACAGCAAACATGTGATCCTGGCACATCTGAGGACTAGTTTCCCGGTTTAAAATGATTTTAAAAGTGTGTGTTACCTGGAAAGGCTCATAGAAAAAGGCCTCCACGCCCTCGGACAGACCTCGGATCAGTCCGAACGGGTTCCCCAGGACGTCCAGACCCAAAACCAGAACATACATCTGCTTCAGGAACTGCAGCCATAAACACACACACATATCATATTATATCTGTAGACATATATAAAATAATCCTAAAACTGCAGTTTGATCTTGCTTTTATAAGAAAACGTTAGATCTGATGTACCTGCTCGCTGTAATGTCGGACCACCGCCCACATCAGCTTCTCTCTGCGATAAAACTGGTACTTCACCTCGAAGAAGGCCAGCCTGAAGAGAGGAGCAGGAACATCACACAAAGGAAACAGGAGGCAGGGAAAAGGAAGCAGGGAACAAGAAGCAGGGAACAGGGAACAGGAAACAGGGAACAGGAAGCAGGGAACAGGAAGCAGGGAACAGGAAGCAGGGAACAGGAAGCAGGGAACAGGAAGCAGGGAACAGGAAGCAGGGAACAGGAAACAGGGAACAGGAAGCAGGGAACAGGAAACAGGGAACAGGAAGCAGGGAACAGGAAGCAGGGAACAGGAAGCAGGGAACAGGAAGCAGGGAACAGGAAACAGGGAACAGGAAGCAGGGAACAGGAAGCAGGGAACAGAAAGAAAAGAACAGGAAGCAGGACTCTCTCACTTGAAGACGATGTCGTCCACGTCAGTCAGCGTGGCTCCGATGCTCTGCAGCAGCAGGTTCAGACTTTGCATCGCCTCGGGAGACTCCTCTGAGCCGGAGGAGCCCATAGACAGACTCAGGTGCAGCTGCAACATGTAACATATACACTTATTATATATCATCTCCAGAGACTCCTCTGAGCCGGAGGAGCCCAGATACAGACTCAGGTGCAGCTGCAACATGTAACATATAGTTATTATATATCATCTCCAGAGACTCCTCTGAGCCGGAGGAGTCCAGAGACAGACTCAGGTGCAGCTGCAACATGTAACATATACACTTATTATATATCATCTCCAGAGACTCCTTTGAGCCGGAGGAGTCCAGATACAGACTCAGGTGCAGCTGCAACATGTAACATATAGTTATTATATATCATCTCCAGAGACTCCTCTGAGCCGGAGGAGCCCATAGACACTCAGGTGCAACTGCAACATGTAACATATACACTTATTATATATCATCTCCAGAGACTCCTCTGAGCCGGAGGAGTCCAGAGACAGACTCAGGTGCAGCTGCAACATGTAACATATACACTTATTATATATCATCTCCAGAGACTCCTCTGAGCCGGAGGAGTCCAGAGACAGACTCAGGTGCAGCTGCAACATGTAACATATACACTTATTATATATCATCTCCAGAGACTCCTCTGAGCCGGAGGAGCCCATAGACAGACTCAGGTGCAGCTGCAACATGTAACATATAGTTATTATATATCATCTCCAGAGACTCCTCTGAGCCGGAGGAGCCCAGAGACAGACTCAGGTGCAGCTGCAACATGTAACATATACACTTATTATATAACTAATGTAAGTAGTATATAACATATGTATTATGTATCAAATATATTATGTGTGGACCTTGATGGGGGAGATGTGGAAGTGTTGGAAGAAGCTGAGAGTGGACTGGTCGGAGAGAGAAGTCTCCATCAGCTCCGTCTGAAGCTTCTTCAGGTCTTTATCCAGCAGCCCGGCCTGAAACAGGGATATACTGTTTGAATTCTGTACATTTATATATACTTCTATTACTTCTATTTCTACGTCTCTACCTTCTGCCGCTCGGCATGAAGCTCAGCAGCGGGGGTGAACAGAGCCACGATGGCCGACAGGAAACCCTGATCGATCTTCACTGCCATTTCCTGAACCAGAGCCATGAAGTACCTGAAGGGTAGAGAGTGACACACCTGGTTTACCCTCACTTTGAACTGGTTTGAACTGGTTTACCCTCACTTTGAACTGGTTTACCCTCACTTTGAACCGGTTTGAACTGGTTTACCCTCACTTTGAACTGGTTTACCCTCACTTTGAACTGGTTTACCCTCACTTTGAACCGGTTTGAACTGGGTTACCCTCACTTTGAACTGGTTTACCCTCACTTTGAACTGGTTTACCCTCACTTTGAACTGGTTTACCCTCACTTTGAACCGGTTTACCCTCACTTTGAACCGGTTTACCCTCACTTTGAACTGGTTTGAACTGGTTTACCCTCACTTTGAACTGGTTTACCCTCACTTTGAACCGGTTTGAACTGGGTTACCCTCACTTTGAACTGGTTTACCCTCACTTTGAACTGGTTTACCCTCACTTTGAACTGGTTTACCCTCACTTTGAACCGGTTTACCCTCACTTTGAACCGGTTTACCCTCACTTTGAACCTTTGAACTGGTTTACCCTCACTTTGAACCGGTTTACCCTCACTTTGAACCGGTTTACCCTCACTTTGAAACCTTTGAACTGGTTTACCCTCACTTTGAACCGGTTTTACCCTCACTTTTGAACGGTTTACCCTCACTTTGAAACCGGTTTACCGCAACTTTGAACTGGTTTACCCTCACTTTGAACCGGTTTTACCCTCACTTTGAACCGGTTTACCCTCACTTTAAACCGGTTTACCCTCACTTTGAACCTTTGAACTGGTTTACCCTCACTTTGAACCGGTTTACCCTCACTTTGAACCGGTTTACCCTCACTTTGAACCGGTTTACCCTCACTTTGAACCGGTTTACCCTCACTTTGAACCGGTTTACCCTCACTTTGAAGTGGTTTACCCTCACTTTCCACTGGTGGTCACTCACTTGATCTGCATGACGTTGCTGTGCCGGTTGAACCTCGTGATTACGGACACTTCGATGAAGGGCTTCGGCTCTGTGGAGGCAGGGCTTCGAGTTAAAATCACAAACTGAATCACGAATAAAAAAATTAAAAAAATGTTAACAAAGAGGATCCACCTGAGTCCAGAGCGATGGATTTGGGCGGAGGAACGGGATGGAAGACGATCGGGAAGATGGCGCCGGGCAGCTGGTTGTCCACCTGCAGACAGAGAGTGTCAGACAGGTGAGTGAGTGAGTGAGTGAGTGAGTGAGTGAGTGAGTGAGTGTGTGTGTGTGTGTGTGTGTACCTGCAGCCAGTGCAGTTGGGCCCTCAGACAGCGCTGGTGCTGCGACTGCTTGAACTCGACCTGGATCCCAGACAGGAAGTTCCTCCTCACCTGGCAGGAAATGGGCTTCCTCATCATCATGGTGGCTCTGCCCAGGTCCACCTGTAACATCATGACATCCCACACAGTCAGCGGACAGATCACATGATCAGCTGCTAGTGGTGTGTGTGACCTCTGACCTCCAGGTGAGTCTCCAGAGTGACCCAGCCGCTGCGCTGCTTCTGAAACGCCTCCTCCAGCAGGTTGATGTTCTTCTGGCTGAAGGGCTTCCAGCGGCTCTTTGGCTTCATCTCCCACACCACACCTGAGCTGCTCACACACACACACACACACACACACACACACACACACACACACACACACACACACACACACACACACACACACACACACACACACACACACACACACACACACACACACACACACACACACACACACACACACACACACACACACACACACACACACACACACAGTGATATAAGTCAGTGGCTCTCTGGGAACTGAGGGTTTCTCATAGTTTAGTTAGTTCATTGGTTTAGACCATGTACATACATCTCAAACTATACGAGATGCTTTGTACCATACAATTCAATAACAACATTAACATGTGATCAACATATTTCATACATTCGCGATAAATATTCACACAATCCACATTTAAAGGTTAAATCTGGATCCTGAACCGTCCAGCTGAACGCACACTGCTACTGCTATAATCATTATGATGAGGAAGATGAAGATACCTGGTGATGCCGATGTAAGCGACCTCCTGCCTCCCTCTGTTGTTGACCAATGAGAGTCCGAGGTTCTGCAGAGAAACCTTCACTTCCTGTTCGAACTGCTCCAGCTCCTCCGCCTGCCGAGCCTTCGTCACGACGGCAACATCTTCGGTGAAAAGGAGAACCCGCTGCCGTCCGTCGAGGAACGAAACCCAATGGACCTGAGACCGGCTGTCGTAGGAGAACTGGCCCACATCGTCCTGAACACAGCAGAACCACAGAGACTAGAACCAGAGACTAGAACCAGAGACCAGAACCAGAGAGACCCAGAACAGAGGAACACATGGTAGTGGGTGTAGCGGCCAAAATCATATAGAAATAAAACTGATGTTTAACTTAAAATAACGCTGCCGCTGAGGCACCAGTTAGTGAATCTGACGCAGGGCAGCAATCCAGGTCCAGACAAGAGTCTCCGTTTCGTTCCAGTAACAAGGTACATTCAACATGTTTCCTATATTTCGTTCCTTAAGCCTTTCCTATGGCTTTCCTTTCTTCTGGCTTAAAATACCCTGTGTAAGATTCGCTAACTGGTGCCTCAGCGGCAGTGCTATTTCAGTTGTCATGGTCCAACTTACTCTGTATTCCCTGTACAGCACTTGAGGTTGTTTTAAATGTGCTATATAAATAAATAAAGATTGAGATTGAGGACACTTGGGTGGGCTTGCTTGCAAACTCTAAAGGTGAGCCGTCGTTTACAGTCTCTACTAATGTGGCCTGTGGAGATGATGG